CAACAGAACATAGCTGTCAAACAAAACCCAAACAGTCCTGACCCGCCACAATATGAAACAGGAAAGTACTGCCGTGTAATCCATTTATTTCAACAAAGTAACTGTATTCTAAATACCTCCTTTTTAAACTGTAACGGAATACAGTTACTCATATTTTGTATTTTAAATACGTAACAGCGGTACATGTATTCCGTTACTCCCCAACACTGCCTAAGGTCAGCAGCACCCCACTCCCACTCTACACAATGTGAATACAGTACCCGCCTGAGTCATCTGACAGTCACTTCAGCTTCAAGGTAGACAGAAAGTCTTGTTCCATGGCCTTACAAACTCTTCCCACACCTGAGTATTTGCTTCAATTTTTCCTACCAGTGCTCATCAGTTGCCTCTGAAGTCCCATTAGCCAATTATCCAGAACATATATCTCTGGCCTAGGGTGTCTTGGTGCCACGTGCACCTATGGACATCCTTATGTTTAAACATGGTGTACGTTATGGACAAACTGTAATTTGCACAGAAGTCCAAACACAAAACACCACTTAAGTCCAAATCAGACAGGCCGTTGTTCTTGATCAGCTCCCTCCAGTTCTCCAGTTCAGTAGGACAACAGAGTCACCAAATGGAGCACCCTCAATCATCCCATTCAGTGACTGTAAGAAGGTTGGGTTATAATAATAACAATACTATTTATAAGAATAATAATATCTGTTGTTTGGCACATAAGTGCAAATGACAGTCAGGACCTATCCCCTGAACCAAAGCGTCTCAAAAGTGAAAAGAATACCAAGTGCAACTCTAGACTGGAACAGAGTCCAATTCCCAGGAGGCTGGTTCCAGAGCCCAATGCTTGCCTTAATGTGAGCCTAATCTGTATCTCTCGACCTCTTGACCCTTTTGAACCTTGAACCTCCTTCCTCTCCAGGAAGGGTTCGATGTGTCATGTCTTAATTGCCAGCCTTGATAGGCAAGAATCAGACTGCCATCCACTTTGGGGTGGCTGTAGCTCAGGAGGTCAACCAGGTCATCTGCTCATCAGAAGGTTCGTGGTTTGATCTCTGGCTCCTCCAGTCTGTCATGCCAAATAACCTTGGGCAAGTCTGAGTACTCTGGGAGAGTAGAAAAGCGGTATATTTTTCCCCCTCGTTGTATATTGGTTTCTCTTCTTCTTACTTTTGCACCTTTGTGGTCCAGCTACCCAATTTTGCTGTGCAAGAAATTGCACAATGACAATAAAAAGCTCTAAGTCTCTAAGTCTAAGTCTATATAAGAATCAGTCCATATACCATTTACACTGCATCTCCTGGTGCATGTTGTTTCTTCTTATCTGCTAATGGAGGCCATGAGGTGTGTTTTGTGGTGTGTATGTGTGTGTGTGTGTGCTAGAGCTGACCTTGCCATGTTACTTTACGTGGCTGTCAAAACTATTATGTGTACTGGGTTTCTTGCTAAAGCAGCCCCAAACAAAATTTGCAGACCTGCTGTATAGAACCTGGTACCCCGGTACTCTCTTTTTCAAGAGAGTTTGTACAGTTTAATATCTGAAAAAGGCTGCACATGGAAGCAGGCAGAGTGGTTGAGACATAATGCTCAGACATTTATCCAAAAGAGTCCAGTGTTTTTTCAATTAGTTTTATAACAACCTGTGATGTTTGGAGAGTCAGCACATGTGATTTTTGTGGAGTGAATTTATATCAATTTACACTAATTTGATGTTGTTTTCTTGAAAGCAAAATGATGGCCAGTTCACAGTGATACAGCTGGTGGGAATGTTGCGCGGCATTGCAGCAGGAATGAAATACTTGTGTGACATGAACTATGTCCATCGAGACCTGGCAGCGAGGAACATCTTGGTCAACAGCAACCTAGTGTGCAAAGTGTCTGACTTTGGCCTGTCACGTTTCCTTGAAGAGGATACTTCAGACCCCACTTACACCAGTGCTCTGGTGAGTCCTTATCAGTGACTATGGAGACCTTCATTCAGTACATTTCATTTATAATACTTCAAATTGTATTATAAATTCTGTCATAAATGAACTTCTTCTTCTTCTTAGGGGGGAAAGATTCCCATCAGGTGGACAGCACCAGAGGCCATTCAGTACAGGAAGTTCACCTCCTCAAGTGACTGCTGGAGCTATGGCATAGTCATGTGGGAGGTGATGTCATATGGAGAGAGGCCCTACTGGGACATGAGTAATCAAGATGTGAGTAAAGCCCTTTAAAATTACTGGTATTTGTGTTTAAGATAAACAATGATAAATTGCCAGATAGTCGTAGTTGTTTCCTTGGGCTTAAGTTAAGCAGTTTCAATTTACTGCCAAAAGTAGGCCTCTGGATCCAACGCTGTTTTCAAACCCATGAGGCTCTCTATGCACTGTTCTTGAGCTAATCTGAAGGCCACATGAAGTTTGGAGGTCTGTAATGATTGACTCTGTCCATAAAGATGGTGACCTCCGTGGCAACCTCATACTACACAGTGTTAAACATGTCCATGTCCCAACTTATTTGAGATTCCAAATGGTCTTTTTCTTAAAATAGTACATTTTCTCAGTTTAAACATTTGCTATGAGAATAATATATCAGTTTATCAGATTTGCAAGTCATTTCTTTTTTTCTTTTTAAATCCTGTCCTGTTTGTCAGCTTTTGTTTTAACCATGAGTTTTCATGCAAATTGTTTTAGGTAATCAATGCCATAGAGCAGGACTACAGGTTGCCACCCCCTATGGATTGTCCTAGTGCACTACATCAGCTAATGCTTGACTGCTGGCAGAAAGATCGCAACAACCGACCCAAATTCAGCCAGATTGTCAGCACACTGGATAAGATGATCCGCAATCCCAACAGCCTGAAGGCCATGACACCCTTGTCATCAAGGTATGACAGGAAGAACAATTATTTCACACTGAGAGTTGCTGACACCCAATCATCTTTTTAACTTCTAGTTCTTTTGTCTTTTTCTATCCACCATTTAGTGTTCATTTAGCTCTGCTTGATCGCAGCACTCCAGATTTCTCCTCTTTCAGCACCGTCAATGAGTGGCTGGATGCCATAAAAATGGGCCAGTACAAGGAGAACTTCACCAGTGAAGGCTTCACCAGCTTTGATGTGGTGTCTCAAATGACCATGGAGTATGTTAGATACTTTTCTTATATCAAAAACAGAGGTCTCACATGCACACACTAGCTGATGAGTTAGAATGCGGCAACAATGGGGAAGTGTAAGGATTTGAGCGAGGGAAACCTTGGACCTTGCCATCTATGTGGATATTACTACCTACTACCTACCTAAGCATTGTTGCAGACCATGTACACAAGGGATGTCAAACACACTTTACACTGTGGGCCACAAACTGTACACCCTACTTTGATCTTAAGTGATCTTAAATGGGCCAGACCAGTGAAACTACATTATAAATGTTGTTACTCGTTAAGTTACTGTGGACTCATTAATAGTTGAAAAACAGTATCTCACCTGTCATTTCAGTGTTTAACTGTTAGTAATTGCTTTAATGTAGTCTGAAAGAAACAGAACCGCATTCACGGAAACAGTATTCCCTAATGGCTATGGCCTCTTTCAGCGGGAAAATGTGCCCTGCCGCAAAGGAAAAATGGTTCAGAAAAGTTGGGACTTAAAGAATCTGTTGCTAATCTCTTTGTGCCAGATACAACAACCTACTGGTGTCTCCATGCCTTGATGGTGTTTGTAGTCAAACTTGGCACTGCTCATGTTGGTACTGGTCTAAGAATCCTTGTGTACTGCTCTGCCAACCAGGAGCTGGTGCTTTGGCTCTCTGGTGTTATTTCCAATACCTTTCTCAGGTGTCCTTACATATTGACTCATGTGTCTACTCAGCTTGGTTGAGATGAGCTTCCATGTTGTGGAGAAGCAGGTATTCAGGCAGTTGTTCTATGATGTCATACCATTATGGGGATCATGAAGGATCCCCATAATGGTATGGGGACCATACCATAAAAGTATAAAAGTAAGACAAGTAAGTATAAAAGTAAGTATAAAAGTAAGACAAAACATAAAACATAACAAACATAAAAGTAAGAGTGAGGATTCTAAACTGATATCTAATAATAATAATAATAAAAGATATGGTAATGAAATGATGAGGCTTTGCCAACAAAAATTAAAATAAACACTTAATATTTGCCACCATGTTAAATGGCCTGTATTTTGTATAGCGCTTTACTAGTCCCTAAGGACCCCAAAGCGCTTTACACATCCAGTCATCCACTCATTCACACACAGGTGATGGCAAGCTACATTGTAGCCACAGCCACCCTGGGGCACACTGACAGAGGCGAGGCTGCCGGACACTGGCGCCACCGGGCCCTCTGACCACCACCAGTAGGCAATGGGTGAAGCGTCTTGCCCAAGGACACAACGACCGAGACTGTCCAAGCCGGGGCTCGAACCGGCAACCTTCCGATTACAAGGTGAACTCCCTCTTGAGCCACAATCACCCCTCATGGACCATGGACCTTAAACTTCCACAGAAATCAAACATGAGCATGTCTATTAGGCTGTCCAAACTTTCAGGGGTAAGACTTGGATCTCACAGGTCAGCAACATGAGCAGGACTGAACTTATCTTTTTTATTTTATTTGTATCCCTCAATTGTAAAAGCATTGCTCTGCTGCCTGCCCCAGGCGGGTGACATGGACACCCAAGTTTGTGAATACAATAACTCAAAAAGGAGGTGATGTAATACCTTAGGTGTATCAGATGAGTCTGAATCTTAATGATATTGACCTCAAGGTTAAGTCAGGGTTCAACTTTCCTGAAAATCACCTAGGATTTTCTCATTTATACAACAGGTATTTCTACTATGAAGCTGAAGGGTAGCACTGGCAGCTGCCTGTATTTTTATTTTTTTATTTATTTACTTTGAACATTTACACGTTTGTGTGCTTTAAATTTGTCACCCATTGTCAGAATGCTCTGCTGTTCAACTATAATGTCCTGAGGTGTCTATGGTAGGAGATTACCTGAACTACCTGTCTGTGCCATTGTGCATCAGCACATAGGAGCATTCAAAGCCCAGAGTTTTTTTGGCCGCACCAGCAGCCTCCCTTACTGTAGGGAGGCTGCTGCCATACTAATTATCATACTACTTATCATACTAGTTACCATACTAGTTATCCATGTTCCTGAAATGAAAAATTAAGTTGAAGAGGTTTTCTGTGAAATGTGAAAGTAACTGTTGCTTAAAGTGTTGCAGATTTAAAGGAAGACTTAGATTATGGACTAAGTGCCTGAACTTTTTTAACCAACTTTGTACAATTTTATAATATACACAAAAGTTGTCATTTAGATTTTGTTTTCAGTATCCACAAGCCAGAATGCCTTCTGAAATGTCAACTGTTACTCCTGTGGTATAGCTGGGTGTAATGATGGCGTATGATTTGTCTTCAGGGATATCCTCCGAGTGGGAGTGACATTGGCTGGTCACCAGAAGAAGATTCTGAACAGCATCCAGTCAATGAGGGCCCAGATGAACCAGATCACCTCTGTGGAAGTGTAATCTCATAGACCAGAAGCACAAAGACTGTTCACTACAGGAAGTCCAGCTGCCAGTAACCATGCATTGAGGAACACATATACTGTGACTTCAGTTGAACCTCAGATTCACTTTTCCTCCTTCCAAACACTCTCCAAAGGCTTCCATCAGTATGCAGCACAGCACAGATGTTGAGTAGTTTTCTTGAAGCTGCTGTATATTCAGGTAACAGTCATTTTGGGGGGCTGTTGGACATAATCACAGGCATCTAACTGTCAAACTACTACAGTACAGTCACGTGTCTTGTTAATGTTCCATCACTCTTCCACTCTCTCCACTACCAGCAACTTAAGTTATTCTTAAGAATTAATGTCCTAAATTTTATGCAAGGAACCTGCTGTCACAGTGAACGATGATATTAAAAACAGCATAGCAGGACTCAATGAACTGGCTGGTGCAAATTACAACTTATACGTTAAGTTGAGCATATTTATTTATAGCTGCCACCTTCACCTTACTGCTACCTCTGTACCACAGTAATTGTGGCATTTTTCGTAACTATGTAAAGTTTCTTAACTATGTAAAGCTGCAAATCAGAACTTTTTGTCAGATCAAACCCAGTTTTTGGTACAGGCAATTGAACATTTACATAGATTGTATGGTGTGAATTTGAATAAGGAAGCATTGGCTAACTATGACCCTTATATTATTCAGCTACAATGTAGATGAACACACTTCTACTACCAGCAACAACAGGTGCCAAATACATATATCTCTATCTCTATCTCTCTCTCTCTCTCTACACACACACACACACACACATATATATATATATAGAGAGAGAGAGAGAGAGAGACAGAGAGAGAGAGAGAGAGAGAGATCATTTATCTCACTGTCCCATTTACTGCGGAAACTGTGATACGAAACTTGCCGATATGATTCTCGGTTCTGTACATGTGTTTTGGGGTTAAAGGTTTACAAGTTTTCATGTTTTATAGAAAATTGTTCAAGAGAAATACCTTTTACACCCAGTTGTTGTCTTGTATTTTTCTTTTAAGAAAAAAAGACTGCTCTTTCATTTGGCACTTTTAAATCATAGCTGTTAAACAAATTGCTTTTCAATGTTTCATATTCTCACATACCACTGAGAGCTATAGGCACTGGCTTGCCAACAGAAGCAAATTGGAATTTAGTGTCTTGCCAGAGGACAGTTCTAAATGATGAGGCAACTGAACTACTAACACTGTATTTAGTGACTCAACATTACTTGAGTTATAGCTTCCCAGCAAGTGCTACCAATAAGCAATTATTATTCTATCCTCAAAGTGATTTAAAATAACATTCAAATGTCCTGCAGATTTTGAAATCTAGAAATTTTAAAATGTCAATTCAAATCTATGTTTTGCAACCTAACAAAGGCCGTATGTAGAGGAGTGCTTTTCAAGACAGGTCATTTTCAGAATATGAAGAGTAATACAAATCTTGTTAATTATGTGTTCAACAGGCTTGGCTGATAAAAACCGATGATAGATATCCCTTTATTAAGCATAGCATGTATTACATTTGACACCAAAGTTTAGCCTTTAACATTGAACTCTGTGTATGATGTCTTGAGCTTGACCGCCTACAGTGTAAGTTTCTTGGATATATATAAAATGCACAAATTATTGCTTTCATAATTAGGAGACTCAGATCCACTTATTGTGAGAAAACAAATTATTATTTTTGCCCAAAAATAAATTCACATAATTAGTATGTCATACGATGTTTTCTCCTTAAGAAACTGAGTAGTACTTGATAATGCAGCCCATAACTTATGGTATAATTTCATATATTTCAGATCAGAATGTAGGGTGTTTTTCAGTTGTCTAAAAATATATCTCTGTAAGGACGGTGCAACCAACTAGGGCCAGGACCAAATTGCTCTCTCCCCAGCCACCTTCTCTGGGGGAAAACCAAGGCATTTACAGCCCAGCTGAGAGACCTAATGTCTGTAGTGTGTCTTGGGTTTATCTCAGTGCCTCCTCCCAGTAGAACATACCCAAAAAGCTTGCTCAGGAGGTATCCTAGTCAGATGCCCAAACCACTTAAGCTAGTACCTTTTGGTGTCTAAACTGCTCCAGTGTGAACTATAGGCCACCACCCGATAAAGCCAACAGAACCACATCAACTGCAAAAAAGCACAGACAAGATCCTGAAGCCACCACAATGGAAGCCTGAGAAATTCTGTCCATAAAAATTTGAAATAGACTTACTGCCAGCAGTGTAACCAAGTTCTCACTGTGGTTTGAACAGTGACCAAATAGGGACTTTCTATAATAGTCGTTTTTTGTTTGTTTGTTTCTTGTTGTCTTTCTTCTTCTTTTTTTTTGTTAAACAATGTCTTCTCCAAGTCGACAAGATACATATAGACTGGTTCGACTGGCACCAGGGGCTTTGGCCTGTGAACAAGATATCACCCTCCCCAGGCCTCACTCCAGGGCATGGTTATAGCCCAATGGTTATTTCTTTTTTGTTTGTTTGTTTGTTTGTTTAAAAAAAAAACAGTTAACATTTGAATGGCATTTCAGAACCGAACTTATGATCCTAATTTTTTTTTGGACACATGGATGGATGGACTTCGATGTGCTTCCATAAAGTTGAGTTTCACAATAAAAGCAGTCAGCTAAGATTCATTTTTGGATTTGAGAGCAGTATTCAGTTGTTTAAGGAGAAACTCCATTCTCTTGCATTCCTCTTCACATGCATTGCACTTCTAAACTGATCCACGCTGCTAGGCATGGGCATGTGAAGTTTTAATGATGCATCATAGATGAATACTATCAGAGTGTCTTGGAGAACTTAGAATAGTTTATCTGTGGATTAAATCTGTCAACAGATGGGTGATCTAAGAGGCCACAATAAATGATTATGAGGCTTACTTTGAAAAGCTGTAACTTCCAATTTTGTAAATCATTACTGAAAAAGTCTACAACCACTGACTGACATGATTTAAAATATGAATAGGTTTTGAGTGGTAAATCAGACTACCCATGGTTTGGGAAAATATCACGATATAGTTGTGCAATGTTTAGGATTCTGTTTAGGATTCTGGCACCATAAGTGCATTTCTGTCTTTGCTTCTGAGAGGACAATCATTCAGATTGTCCATTAAAGCTATAAGCACCAAGCCTCAGAACAAAATAGCTATGCTGTGGCTCTTATGCAAGTCTTTGCAAGAAATTAGGTATCATGTCCCGTTTAGATATTGGTGTTTATACACTCTGGGTTTCTGTAGGACATAGAGGTCCTGTGCTCTACATTATTACCATAAAAGATGTGTTTCATCTCTGATCTCTGTTTTGTCTTTTCTGTCCTTGTACATATTCCCTTCATGATTTGAAATGAAGCTGAAGTGTACCATCATCTGAACTCAGAAATCACTGTGGGTTGGGGTTTGAAAGGTAACATAGCTCAGAAGCCTCACAGGACCAATACAGCATTAGAAATATTTTGGGGTTTTTTTTAATGTGAATTTTAATAAAATGTGAGGTTGTTTTGTTTTTTGTTTTTTTTAAATAAATGTTATGCAATCGTTGTACGTACAGAAAAGAAAAGTGAATTTTACGTTTCAGTCATGTGACATTTGAGTGATTTTTTTTTAAATAGGAACATTTGGCATGTTAAACCCTTCCTTCTAATGTACTGCCATAATTCACATGTTCATCCACTCACTATGGTGTTATCTACATGACTCCCTTTGAACTTGGTCCTGTTTGTTGTCAGTTATTGTAAGGCTATAACATGTTTTGATGGTAGCATTCAAAAGCACAATTCCAAGACATTTATTCCCCACTTATGTTTTGAAATTCAGTGCTATTGTAAAAAATCAGGAAGGAATACATATGCTTCTTTAAGGGTTAGTTATTCTTTGTAATCTGCTCACTGGAACACATAAGAATAAAGAAACAAACTCTTAACAAGCTGCTTTAACAATGAAGGTTTGGATTTCTAGTGTTGGATCAGGACAGGCCAGACTCCTTTTTTTCTTTTTTAATATGTTGTAGTTTAAAGAAATGCACTGACTTGAATTAATTATAAAACATGTCCTGATGCATGTTCTTTCTGAACAGAAGGTACAACTCAGACTTCTGTATTGCAGAAGCTCATTAGACATTGCATGTACTATTCTGGGCTCTGTGTTAGTCTTCCTGGAGATAGTGTTTTTTTGTAAATTTTTATGACTATCATCCAAAAGAGGTGCTTCCACTTATCTCAGCTTTAAGTGTTGCTTATTGTTTATATTTTCGTTTAATGTAAAAATCTATTGTTCTCTCTGATTTATAACAGATTCATATTGATACCATTTTTTATTCTTATGTCATATAATTGTAAAAACAGCCTTACATATTTTACAAACACATAAACACATTGTACTGTAATGTACACATGCATTCGCTGCACATATTTAACACACTGGACCCAGGCAACAGATTGACATTAGATGATAAGTGCTTCTGTTCAAACTGACCAGAATTATTATTTGATGGTGTTTGGTAAGAAATCAGATTCTGTAAATTAATAATCCATCCACCCATTTTCTCTGCTTATCTGGATCCAAGCCGCAGTCTAAGAAGAGATGACCCAATCTTAATCTCCCCATCCACCACCACATGTTCCTGTGGTGGGACATCATGGAGTTCCATGTATGCATTATACTCAGAAACCCAAACCACCTCAACTGACTCCTTCCTACAGGAGAAACAGCAGGTCTTTACTGTGAAGCTCCCAAATAACTCACATCTAAGGCTTGTATCTGTGATCTTATTCTTTTGATCATAACCCACAGCCCATGGCCATAACAACAGGAATTTGAATATGAACCTGACATACTTGCTCCTCCACTTGAGACAGAAACTCATCCCTCATTTCCCCAGTGGCATTCTACCCTTTTCTGGCTGATAACCATAGCCTTTGTCATCCCTCCTGCTTCACAGTCAGCCGCAAACTGCTCCAGTGCTGACTGCAGGTCAATACTCAATGAAGTCAACAGGACCACACCATCAACACCATGCAGGTACATGAGCCCAAGACAGACAAATGTGAATCCGTTTATTACAGAAATTTTCTTCATTAAAGTCATGAACAAAATTGGTGACAAATGGCAGTATATCCAATGTTACATAATCAGAGCAAAAACCACAATATTCATCCTGAATTTTTCCACTACCTCTAAGGTAGCCTGAGGAGGGCAGTACCCCAAAGCTCGACCACACCCTTCAGTTTCCCTTCTTGAATACGACCCCTGTCACCAAGAGGGTCTGTCCTAGTATTGCAGTATTGTAGAGGGATATCCAGTTGAACAGCCCCACAACATCCAGAGCTTTAAGGAACTTGGGGCAAATCTTATCCTTTCCAGAGTTTTGACTTACCTCAGTGACCTTATCCACAGTGATTGGCAAGCTAACCCCCAAGTCTTCTGCTCTGCTTCCTGAACAGAAAACATGTTCAAATTCCTTTAATATTCTTTCCACTCTCCAACTATGTCCTTAGTTAAGGTCAACAACACCTAATCCTCACAGTACAAAGTGAAGGCAGAAAATTGCGTTCACCAGTGTATGAATGTGAGAGTGAATGAATAGTGGTATTGTAAAGCGTTTTGAGGGGTCCTGAAAAGCGCTATATAAATGCAATCCATTATTATTATTATTACCTCGCTAAATATCTGACAGTTTCCATGGCATCACCCCGGAATATGCAGACTGGAATATGGAACATTTGTTTTTGCAAAGATGACTGTCTAAAGCTGCATTCTGCTTGGCCTATCAGTACCCATCAACTGCCACAGGAGTCCCATAGTCTAGTCTAATTCAGTAGGATTATTTGTTCAGCTTGATGGCTCTTTTTTACTCTGCTGCAAAAGATCTTGGATCTGGGCAAATTTCTTTAAGTATTTTTTTTGTCCTCAGTTGAGGTCAACAACATCCTATCCCAAATGTGCACTCTGTGTGCGGAAAACTGCTTTTATCTCACTGTCTGACAGTTTTTGTGACATCACCAAGTCACCATGTAGACTGGAATATGGAATATGTGTTTTTGCAAAGATGATTGTCAAAGCTGTATTCTGCTGGCCCTATCAGTACCCATCAGCTGACACAGGAGTCCCACAGTCTACCCTAATTCGGCAGCACTTTCTTCTACAGCTTGGTAATAAAGTGGTAATAGTAGGTTAAAAACGTAGAAACAAGGCTGTAATATTGTGTAACAAAAAGTTATTACCACCTAATGACAAAGTAATAACCACTTAATATCCAAGTAATATTGTGGTAGCAACAGTGGTCACAGTTAGTTCTACTGAAATATATGGAATCTGATGACAAGGCCCAAAAAGTGTGGGTAATAATGTGGAAACACAGCTCGGATATAAGTGGTAATAGTAGGGGTATCAAGGCAGAAACAAGAATTAAAGTGATGACTACTAAGAAACACCTCTGGCCGTTTCTGTGTAATAAGCAGGAATTTAATACCATAGTAATGATAACTGAAGTGGAACACATGTTTAAAATGTCCTGTAAACAAAATAAAATGCCATCCATGTTCTCCTGCTCGTCTAATTCACGGACAACACCCCACAAATTCACTGGGTGGCGATAGCTATAATGCTATATAGACCTGCGGGCAGACTGTTCCTAGGACTGCACTCTTCTGGACAGAGATCTCTCATGTTGTTCCTAATATCTGCTGGAGCCACTTGCCTAGCTTAATTTTCACTACACCAACTGCTCTGATTACCACTGGGACCACTTTTACCTTCACCCTCCACATCTTCTCAAGCTCTTCTCTGAGCCCTTGGTACTCCTCCAGCTTCTCGTGTTCCTTCTTCCTGATGCTGCTGCTCCTCAGGACTTTCCTGACCCTCTGCAGGTAGTTGGTGGTTGCAGCTTTCCTAGCAGCCTCTTCGTGGTTCCTATTTGCCTGTAAGATTCCCAGGTATTTGTAACTGTTTTAGATGTCTACAATGTTGCCTTCTGGTAGTTCGATCCTCTCAGATCTGACTGCCTTCCCTGTCTTTGTCACCATCTGACTACACTTCTCCAATCTGGTTGTGTGGATCAGTGAATCGATGTCTCGTTCACTCAATGTCATCCATGTAGAGGATGTGGCTGACAGTCTTGTCAATGATCTCACTGAGGGGGTTCAGGCTTATCCAGAACAGCAGTGGGGACAGAGCATCTCCTTGGTAGATCCCGCACTTGATGGTGACTTGTGCTATGGGCTTGAAGTTGGCCTCTAGTGTTGTACGCCACATCCCCATTGAGTTCCCGATGAATACTCTTAGGGTCCTATTGATCTTTTATAGTTCTAGCCATTCCAGGATCCAGGTGTTGAGTCATAGGCTTTCTTGTAGTCAATCCAGGCAGTGCACAGGTTGGTCAGCTGACTGCTCAGTTTACCAGCAGCTGGTGTTTTGCACCTCTGGTATTCTTGTCAATTCATTTCAGTGCCCCACTCATGTATTGACCAATGTGCCTGTTCATCTTGATGTCTGACAGGAGCTTCCATGTGGTAACAGGTTATTGGCAAGTAGTTGGATGGGGATGGTCCCTTCTGGGTGTCCTTGAGGATCAGGAGTGTCCAGCCTTTGGTTAGCCATTCTGGGTGTCTTTCTAGCAGCTGGTTCATCTGTGCTGCCAGACTCTCGTGGAGTGCAGTCAGTTTCTTCAGGCGAGTAGGCATGAACAATGTCATATGCAGAGAATATGCATCCTTTATGAATCTGAAAAAGTTGATTCTGTTTATCTGGACAGAGAGTTCAGTGAGAGAAATGTTTTGTCACTTATCCAAGTGATGTCCTTAGTTTGAGTTTGAGCTGCCTAACAATGAGTTGAGGATTAAATCTCAGGATGTACCACAATTCACTGATCACATCAATTTGGTGGACAAAGACATCAAATTCACCAGGTAGGATATGAAATGATATGTTAGCCTTAGACTCTGAGATTTCCATCAGTAATGGGGGACATTTAAAAGTTTATGTGTACCATAAACCAACACATACGGATCAGTATTTAAGGTTCGACTCTCATCATCCACTGGAGCATGAACTGGGTGTCATCAGGACACTACAACACCGAGTGAACACCATCCCCACAGCTACAGCGGTCAGGGATGCAGAAGGACATCATATCAAGAAGGCCCTGAGTAAATGTGGTTATCCAAGCTGGACATTTGTCAAAGTTGGGAAGGCACCTAAAGAACGCTCCAGGTGACCAGGGAGAGAAGAAGCACAACTGTTGCCTAAGCGGAAACCCTTAGTAATCCCTTATGTGTCAGGAGTATCAGAACAGCTGAGAAGCATTTTCTCTAAACACTGCTTCTCTGTGAATTTCTAACCCCAAAGCATGCTGTGCCAAAAATTGGTCCACCCCAAGAATTAGCTCTGCCCGGCACAAACAGAATAATATAGTGTACACTGTTAAGTGCCAGGATAATTGCCATGATTTATACATCATGGCAATTATGGCAATTAATTATTTGGCTAAGCG